AAAATTCTAAAAACTATACATTCGGCCTCTGTATTGATAGTAATGACTATTTCAATAATATTTCCCAAAAAATATTTAATGTACAGATTGAGTCAGTAGACTTTTATTATATGTATACATAATAATGATAATTTAAACGCCACTAACAGTATTGGTTTATACAGATATGTATATCTTATGTTAGCAATATTATTAATTGTTACTAGTATGAGTATAGAATAAAATTGTAGTTATGATTATAATTATTTAGAGTCAAATGAAATACTTATTTCTTGCCAAGCTTGTAGAGATAGCAGCACCAAAAACTGTATTTAGTATGAATTATGATTCTAATATAAAGCTAAAATACTCTTTAATAATTTAAATATGTGAAGGTAGAAAAGTTGTAAGGTATAAAAAAAATATTTTGTGTATTAAAAGGATATGAGGGTATATTCTGGAGCGAGTTGAAGTAATGCTGATAGTTAAAGCTGTAATAATGTATATTCTTGTAATAAGAAGTGATTATCTATAGATAGGTATAATAAAATTGTAACTAAGCCGAATCTGTACGTTAAATATTTTTTGGGAAATCTTATTGAAATAAATATTATTATCGATACATAGGCCGAATCTATAGTTTTAGAATTTTTGTCTGTCTGTCTGTTACCGCATCACAGAAACCCACTGGAGGGATTTTGATGAAATTTATATGACGATAGCTCGTTATCTGGGTCAACATATAGGGTACTAAAATATGTAATTTCTGAGAAAAATACAAAAACTGCAATGAAAGAGTATAACTAATACGTAAAACTTAGGAATTTGGTTTTAAGTCACCTGAACGCGGGCGGAGCCGCGGCTAATACTAGTGTTAAATAAATGATAAGTGATGTGAAAATCAAATAAATATGGTAAGTACGAACGGGTTTCTTATACCGGGCCGTTGGTTAGAGGAAAATTCTTACACTTAGCAGAATTGTATATGAAGATATTATTTAAGTCGATGTAAACTTCTCATCTTATAGGTATATTTTCAACCGACTTCAAAAAGGAGGAGGTTCTCAATTCGACTGTATGTTTTTTTTTTTATGTTTGTTACCTCAGAACTCCGTCATTTATTAACCGATTTGGACAATTTTTATTTTGTTTGAAAGGGTGTACTTCCAGATTGGTCCCATTTAAATTTCAAAAAAAAATACCACCCCTAAGGGTGGAAAAACAACTAATGATGAATTTAACCTACTTCTAATTGTCATATTGACTTGAAACTTTGCAAGTATTTCTATTTCCGTTGATAGTACAGTGGTTCGGTGTTGTTGACCTGATCTGATAGCAAGGCCAGAAGGTGGATAGGTGGAACTCTTCAACGGCTAATAGTAGATACTTTGAGTTTGGACTTATTTTGTTTGATTTGACAAGCCTAACACGTTAGAATCCTTACTTTGCTACTACTGTCTACACTAAAAAGGGAAAAATAAAAACTTTTTAACAAAAAAATAAAAACCGACTTCAAATAAAAGCACTAAAAAGTAACAAATAACTGATTGGTAGTTTTCATTTACTATACATACCTAATCAAATATTTTCGAAATCGGTGCCAGCCCATACAAAGCTAAGCACACCGACTTCGAAAATATTTGATTAGGTATGTATAGTAAATGAAAACTACCAATCAGTTATTTGTTACTTTTTAGTGCTTTTATTTGAAGTCGGTTTTTATTTTTTTGTTAAAAAGTTTTTATATAAAGTCGACACAGGCTGCTATGACATTTATTCAAATGAAGCATCATATGACTTTATAAAACTTACAGGAGTCGTATGCAAATTGCAAGTAAGATTAAAACCGGTTGTTAAGAATTTGCGAGCATATACTTCATTAACTAATTAATTAATCTTTGTCAGATTGTTTCACAAAGCGAAAGATTAAATTGTTTGAATTTTGTATTATGTTAACTTTTGTAATACATTTTAGAGTATTATAATATTTAAATAACCGCATTAGTGATACATATGTATGATTGGTGTAATGCATTAACGATTCCATGTATTACCTAAATATGAAAATATATGGCGATCTAGTCGCGCATTAAAGCACTGCAAATACCAGTGCACTGCCAGACTAATCACATTAGTGACCTGAGCCCGTAGGTAATGTAGGCAACAACCTAAAAAGCACTAATTTGCATGCCAGGCTGAACCTCAGTGCTACATGCCGGACACAATATCTTACAGAGATGCATGGATCTCATTTCTAAATTAATACACCATTAGAATAAATAAAGTTTTGAGATAGACAGATTTAAATTACAAAATGTTTTATATAGATTGAAGTATGCTTACATTTATATATTATAGTAATACAAAACTTTTCATATTAAGGCTTATATCTTTTTAATAATATTAACTTTTGTAACGTTTTAATAAGATTTATTATAAACTAGTGACTCACCCTCGCTTCGCTCAGGTTTGTCTTTAGGTACTTTTTAACGCTTAGTTTGGATTTTTTTTCAATTCAACAAAACAAAGATCATAAAAATCGGTCCAGCAGTTCTCGAGTTATAAGTGCTGTAACAAACCCGACTTTATTTTATATATAGTATAGATAATAACAGCAATTAATAAAAATGTACAGTAATCACAGGTTAAAGTGATAAAATAATCAGTGGAAAAGAGATCATTTGTTCGCATTTATTCCCCTTAATACTGCCTATGAGTTGCCGATCATATGGCATTATTATGAAAAGGGACTAAGTAAATTGCAAATTCTATTAGAGGTTTATAGGGATCGAGCGCGTGCACTTCGATTCGTCACAGAAGTAAAGATAAAGCATCGATATAAGAGAAGGCCGTCACAACTATTTTTCGCAAATACGGAAAAGTGAGTTAGTTGACATTATATAGATATATTAGCATTGCCCGCGGCTCCGCCAGCGTTGAGATGACCAAAAACCAAATTCTTAGGTTTTACATATTAGTATACTCTTACATTGCAGTTTTTGTATTTTTTCTCAGTAATGAGATATTTTCCTGCGGTAAAAAGTATCCTATATGTTGACCCGGATAATCAGCTATCACCATACCAAATTTCATCAAAATCTCTCCAGTGGTTTTTCTGTAATGCGGTAACAGACAGACAGACAGACAAAAATTTTAAAAACCATAGATTCGGCCTCCGTATCGATAATAATATTAATTTCAATAAGATTTTCCAAAAAATATCTAATGTAGAGATTCGGCTTAGTTACAATTTTATTATATGTATAGATTAATCCCTCCACGACCGTGGACACGCCGGGGTATCAGTTAATAATAGATTTCTTAGAATTTTAATTAATTTCTTAGAAATTTACCTGGAAATATTTAAACGTTTCTCTAATATTAAGATATAAACTTAAAAAAAGAACCTTAAGTAATTATTTTTTTTACTGTCTGCTAATAAAAAAAAATGATAACTTTTTGATTAAGTACCTAAATATTACGTACATTATGTTCACGAGATCGTGCAGACTAATAAGATCACAGACATTTTTAAAAAAGAATTTCTTAGAAACCTAATTACAGACTTACGTAGTATAGAGGCGTGTTAAGTAACACTCCGACCCCACTTGTATAAAGTGGTTTTTGTCCCCAACTAAGACGTTATTAAATGAGGGTCAATGTCTTTTTTGCTCTCTGGAAAGTCAAATGTCAGTAAAATGTTTGACATTACAAAGCAGTAGATTAAAAATATATAATCTACGAAATAAAAAAAAAATGAAAATGAACAAATGTTAAGTGCTCAAAACTTATATTAGTTTAAATGTAATTCATTATGATAAAAGTGAAAGTATAAGATGAAATTTAAATAAAATTATAGATAGTTTATTTTAACATAATTTAAATATTATAGGTTAATATCATTTATATTTAAGATAATAATTTTGAGTAATTTAATCTAACGGCAGTAACAGTATACAGTATATACATGGTACTTAAATAAAAAAAATTATCTTATGCGAGGGACCTAATAAGCTATACATATATTAAAATAAAAACATATTTATATGCCTTAATTTTAATATAAATAAAATCAATCAACATATTGGTATTACTGGATATTATCAAATGACACTATAATCGTACTTAAAAATTAAAATGTAAGTATCTATTGTTATTAAAAAATATTAAATGTTAATATTTAATATGGTAGAGTTGCCTATAAAATTAGCTTACATTTAGTTCGAACCTTAGTTTGGAAATTAGTTACAGACATCGTATATAGCTTCATCAAGTTAGTTAGCCTAACAGAAGGATATAAAGCATAGGTTGCAGAGGGTTTACGTGTAAAGTTTTCCTCATAAGCTCGCCACAGGGCGTTCTCCTATCAATTGCTGCTTCCCGACCCCTCCCTCCCCGTCCCGTAAGGCTCACTAATGATCCCACTTGTTAGGGATCAGCGTGGACCTTCGACCGTGTCACACGATGAATAACAAATTCAAACTTGATCCTGTTACGTTGGCAAAATATTCGTAGCAGACGTCGAGGTCTAGTAGTCTAGAGTCTAAACTGTATTATACATAGATAGTAGTTGTAAATAATATTTGTTAAGTACACTGTTTGATGAAGTTGTCCCATTATTATTAACAGCTTTGCCTATAAGTATGTAAATCTTAGATTAAATGCCTTTCATATTAGCATATTCAAATATGTTATTTTTTTTATTGTATCTATTTAAATATTAATTTCAAATATTTTTATAAAAATACATATATAAAGAAATGGTTAAGTTTGGGTAAAATTGGCGTATTTTATCGCGTATTTTGTTTATATCATTGTGTTTGTTCAACAAAACATTTTTCAGTAGCAGTCTGGCGTTGGGTGGTGCTACACTTCTGTGACTCGTAAAACACATACGGTCGTCGATCTTGCACCTGATATCTCAGCAGTCGTATCCAATTGTTGTCGCACCGCACTTTTAGATTGAAAGAGCGTGAAAAATACAATTTTATGGACATATTTTTAGTATTTACATAACTTACTGTCAAACTGCTGAGTAGCTTGAGCTAATAGTGAAGCAAAAACTCTATCATCAAGTTGTGGTGCTTTCTGCGGGCGGTCCTCGTCGCTACTGCTGTATCTGTCGCCGGCCCACTCCAGCGAGCGCTGGCGACGCACCGCCGGCGCTCCGGGTAACCCGCCCGACAACCCACTCAGCGAACCCGCTTTAGCACGACGACCCGCCCGCTCCATCATTTCGCTTTAAACCATTTTATGGATCTGCAAAAAATATAAAAATATATATAATATATCAATATTATAACTAAGAATTTAAAAAATCTATATCGAATCGAATAGATTTAAAAGTGTTATCGAATCTTCAACCTAATTTAAAAAGTCAGCGTATAAGTAGTTATTCCTGAGGTGGCTACTGAAGGCTCGTAATGTATTGCTGTAAAGAGCGGGTGATATAATAAATTAATTAGAAATAAACAAAAATTTAAATTGAAAATAAACACTTCAAAAACAAAATGGTTTTAAAAAACTATTAAATTAAATGACCTTAGAAACAAATAACATGGTATTTTATCAAAGTGGTAACGACATCGTGAGCGGAAAAGAACAACAGTAATAAAGAGCCTACAAGTTGTTTAGTTAGCGACCCAACATAAATAGGAAGTTGCGGGCGTGCGTGTTGGAGGCCTAATCCGCTGGATTGTGTCGCGACATCGCCCGACGGTTTGCCAACAATCGGACCGACATTATTTCTTATTGACTCTGAAACAAGTCTTCATACTATCTCAATTTACGCTTACAGATGCGAACCAGAACTAAAGTTAGTAAGAGGCAAAGGTTGGTAAACCTATACATTCAAATATATTTTACCCTCAGGTTGGACTGATGACTGACTTATAGTTAATTCTATAAGTAGAAATATATTATGCCTATTACATATATGTTATAAGTTTTTTAAAATTATATAGGTATATTTATAAGTCTTTTTAAAAATATTACAAAAATAAGTATGAATATCTGGTAGACATAGAAAATATATTTATAGAAAACACTCTAAGACCAATATGTGATTAGATACTCAAACTAGTAACAAAAAAAATTAATACAGAACAGTTACTTTTTGAAGTTACTTCTTTTGGCACGTTTAGAAAAAATATGAGAGTAAAATTTTTACAATGCGCGCGCATACCGACAGCCAAAAAGCGCCATGATGAAGTTAGCTGCATTCCTTTTACAAACAGAGAGTTGTAACACACGGGATGAAATCTATAACTATTTTTGTTCTGTTACGCCAAAGAAATATGAATTCTTACGTGTGTACATAAGTACACACACACGTTTTTATTATTTAGTTAACTGTTTCATAGATCTATTGGCGTGCTTGTACGACTTCAGATCTAGCGGTCCTAGGATCGAATTAAGACTTTGGCCAAAGTAGTTACTGTGTTTTTCTGTGAGTTTTCAAGCCTCGGAGAGCATGTTAAACTGTCAGTTTTGCGCCTTATCTCTCACTGGTCGTATTAATTGTCATCCTACCGAGAATAAGAGTTAAGTTTAAATAAATGATTGCACAAAAAATTAACTAAAAAGATGCCAACAACTTGATAAAGGAACGAAGTATTATGCAGTCGAAAACATACGAGTACATAAACGTAAGACTCGTAGCTAGTACAGAACCCTAACTAACCTGTAACCCTCTATTGTGCTTCGTTGCAGTCGGGTAAATGGAATAGGGAGTGTACTTGTGTCTGCGTACACATTTGTCCACTATAAAATAATACCCCGCGTAGTCAATCAGTCTTAGTGAGATTAATAAATCATGTTATTATTATTCAAAATAACTACAAGTTATTTATGTCTGGATAAATAAATTGTCAAAGAAAAACATAAAAAAAATTATCTTCCTAGCAAAATCAGAAACACACGCCTATGTACGTATTAAATAAGCAAGTAACAATAAAAATATTTATTGGTGAAAAATAGATTTTATTCAAACGCTGAAAACAATATTTCTTCACCAAATGCAATGCAAATTGAGTCGGAATAAATAATAGTTTGTTACTTTTTGCTTGAAAATGGTATTCTGCGTGTGCAACGATTGTTAGAAATTTGCTGCACTCATTTCTCATTTCGTATCAACAGAATAAACAGCGGTGGTTTCATTAGAGATTCACCGACGGTCCATAGATCTGCGAAATTAGTAGACTGTGTATTGATTTTTATTTTAATAACTCCAATAAGTCACTATATATATATATATATATATATATATATATATATATATATATATATATCATACATAACGTGTAAAAGAAAAAATCTGATATGCACCGTCTATTGTAACTGTGTATAGGTATAAGCTTGAATTAGTTTAAATGGATTTGCCAAAAATTAAGCTGAGGAAGAAGAATCTAATTAAATCAAAATGCATTAACGGAATGTGAAAAGTAATTTTATTCATATTTTATTTTATATTCATATTAAAATTACCCATTAATCGTATCAAAGTCCATAAAAAACGTGTCTGAAAATAAAATAAAAGATATAAATACGATAATTCTAAATGTTCTAAGGCGATATCAGTCGGCGCAAGCTAACAGAGCCTCTGATGGACCGCTAGTTTAATATAAAGTAGATACCTGTTTACTCGGCTGTGTCGCAGCGTTAATAAATTCGCTTCCTTCAAACCAATCTATTCCATTTTTACTCAATATTTGCTCTCATTATACGCATTCAAGACGTTTTATTAAAGTTCCAACGTGAATACGTGTAATGAAATTGGTTTTTTGTCACTGTGTAAATACCTTTGAAGGTTTCAAGTATTATTTCATGGAATATTGATTAATTTATGCACGAATGTAAAATACTGCTTTAGTTTAACTATGAAATATGTTTATTTTAACTTTTATGGTTTAAAAATAACATTAAATATATATAACTCCTGACTCAAACTGTAAGTTATCATTAAAACACAATCAAAAAATGATTTAAAAACGAATTACCCACCTAATTAATAAAGGCTACTTTATATGCCGGTACATCAATTACATACTGTACTACAAAAAACTAATAAACACTTGGGTGTCGAGTATGGTGTACAAGTGTACAAGTAAGTGGTGACTACTATATGATTCAGTTTTCTCAAAAAAAAAACATCAAACCTTATTCATAAATGATATTAAAGTTTGAAGATCATAAATCTTAGACTAGAAGCTCTGAACATATATTTCGAAATAGCAAAATAATTTGCTCTACAAATGATGCTATGAAACTTGATATGAATAATACAATAGGTGCATTTAAGAACAGCGCTCGTATGTCAAATAAAATACATTATAATGACATCAGTATTGCGATTCCCCGTCACGTATAAAATAAGCGTGAGGCCAATGGGGAGCAGACAGGCATGAGAAATATGAACTCTACGAGGCCGCCGCGCAACGCTGTGCCGTATTAAAACTGCATCTAACTCATAGGTTGACCTTAACTATGTCTAGATAAAGAAATATTTTTAGAGCGAAAAAGTTGAGTATCTTTTAGTGTTTATGTTCTATGTAGATATTTGAAAAGTATGAAGCAGTTCAAAAACACTTGTGTACTTAACTTTTATTTTTGAAGAAAAAATGATAAAACTAAAGACTGGCTATGATATTTTAAATAAAACTATCTTTTCGGATGATTTCGCGGATTTATTTGGATTTTTGGTTCCCGACATTTCGAATGCTTTACAGCAATCATGGTCACGGGAGCGACTAAGGTTATAGACGTCTCAAACACATACTTGTTACAGACAGTGCCTACTAACTATTTTACAACAATAATTTCAAAAATTCAAAAATGGAAATAAAGTGCCTTACAATATTTGTTGATTTTTATTTCTAAATATTAAAAAAAAATAAGTATTATAATTAAATATAGCAATATTATTTATTTAATTTTAGCTGTTATTATTATAAATATTACAATTTTTAAAAAACTTAATAATTTACTAATATTATTTAGTGTTGCTATTATTATATTATGTGTAACCATAAAGAATATTAAAAAACATTAATTATTTATGTAAGCCATATTATGGTTTTATATGTAATTTAAAAGAAGTTAAAATATTAATTTAGATTGCTATTATTTAAAAGTTAAAATATTAAGCAACACTATTGCTACCTATACCTATACACAAAAAATATATTTATCAGAATTACTGTTATTATTGCGATTCACACAGTATGAACTAACTACATATACTGGTCTGTTATATTTGTTTTTGTTGTTAGATTTTATTATGTTTAGCACAGGATCCCAAGATGATTGATGGTAGTACCCAGATATCTTCCCTATTGCAGTTTGGATATTTTTTTAATTTAAATAGCTTCGCGAATCATCCTGGGGCGATAACGGCTCTCTTTGACGAGTATTTGTGGACTTTCAAAGCGAATATAGTGGATTTGGCGATCCTGGATATGTTTACAGGCTGCAGATGTTGTATCGCGACGGTGCTTCAGCTATGTGTTCTTTGACCCGAGTTCTAATGTGGATCTCTTTGTTTAACCGATGTAGGAGAGCCCACAATCACAATCAAGTTTATATACCCCTGCATCTCGGACAGGGATGTTGCACTTGACAGGTGATAAGAACTGACTAATTTTGTTTGGCGGCTTGAAGTAAATTTTGATTGAAGCACGCTTTAACACGTTCACTGCGTCATCATTTTGAAAGAACTTTCAGCTGGTGCTTTGGAGACCTAAAAGATCTCGAAACTAGCCTACCCTTTGGTGCGTTAGAGACCTAATCAGTCTCCTAAAAATACAGTTTTGAAAATAATTTATATCTTCCAAAAAACTAATGACATATATTTTAAAGTTTTTGTGGGTCAAGAGAGCCTATTGCTCTACATTTTGCTAGGTTCGCACGCAGTTATGACATTAGAATAAGCTACAAATACCAAAAAAAAATTAGATATCGATTGTATCTCGTACCGCAACCGAAGATAGTTCAATATGTGTAGTAAGTAGTGATGGGAATAAAATAATATCTCAGTTGTCGATTGAAAAAGTTTTATTAAAGAAGTTTATTTATAAACTATGCAAAGTGTTTTTCATTAAAACATAGTAAGCACATTGATTATTTGCATTGCGCGCAAATGGTATTTTTTCAGCTTTTTTTAGAAGCGTCAGTGCTGTTTAATGTGCGTCGTAATTTTTCATAACAACCCACACAACGTCTTTTTTGTCGCCACGTTG